TTTATCAAATCATATATAGAACTTATAATTTTTATCAATTATTATAAATTATCGGGCTTTGGGGCTTATTTCTATGAAAAAATAAAAGAAGAAATACCACCTACGGGTAGTGTACTTGAGAAATGTTCAAAAAAGCAGATTGTTGTAATACGAAAAGGAGATGAGCTTTTAATTTACCCATATTGATTCGAATCAAAGGACTGTCTTCTATCGATCTACATATGTTTGAGATCTACATCGGTCAACGTTACCGAAGGCACTAGTTTTCATAGAAGCTCTAATGTTTTATCGATTTCAGAAGTGACTGAAGCAACAAAGTGTATTTTTAGTGATTAATTTTTCTGAAAAATCAGATAAAAAAGCACACAATTTTTAAGACAACAAATCTTGAAGCACGCAAAATATGTTCAGTTGAGCGTCCCATAAAGATTAAGATTTTCATTCCATTTGGCATTTTACTGTGTTTTCAACTTTTCCGCAAAACACACATCGCCACAAGACCATAGTCGATAATGAATATTTCCATTAATTCTTCAGTTCCATGGCTGAAAAAATATTGTATCCATGAGCTTCCATGAAAATCAGTGCCTTCGGTAATGTTGACAGATGTAGATTTCAAACATATATAGATCGATAGAAAACAGTCCTATAATTCGAATCAATATGCGTGAATTAAAAGCTCATTTTCTTTTCGTATTACAACAATCTGCTCTTTTGAACACTCCTCAAGTACACTACCCGCAAGTGGTATTTATTCTTTTATTTTTTCATAGAAATATGCATGCAAATCTTTACTATCATATAGTGAAAAATGTCAAATGTTCTTCAAAAAATCGCAGACTACATTGTTTTTTAAAATGAATAGTACTTTTACTATTTAAAGCATTTTTCTTTTCAACTTTATTTCTGAGATTTTTTTCTCTAAATGATACACAATGGCTATACTTTTCATTCACATATTTACATCTATATATATATATATTAAAAAAAGGAATCTATTCTTTCCGGATCTCATTTTTCATCTTGTGCATTTTTTCGTCTTCTTCTCTCTTGTGTCAACAAATATCAATATTTCCTATAAAAATAATATATATAAATTAGTTAATAAAATATATATTTTGTAACTTTTATGCCAATAATTAGCCAATAATAGCCAGTAACATGTTCGATATAAACAGGTATCCTGAACTTTTCAACGTTGATTATAACCATTTCCGTTTAATAGTTACTTCTAGATGAACCAAACTCATAATAATATATTCGAAAGAAAAAGAAATTTTTTGAATAGCAAACCATTTGTATCATGCGACTCATTCTACTGTTGAACATACATTTCTTTTCAAGACAAGATTTGTATAGATGAATAAAATAGGACTATTTTAATCCGTTCAATTATCTTAATATTACAAATAATTGTCTATGCTATAAGATATTCAGTTATAAACTGATCATATCTAAAAATAAATTAAGCTTTAATACAATGTCACAAAAAAAATATATGAGATCATACGAATGTAGATAGAATTAGCCTGTGGTAAAGTAGTTGACAACTTATCTCTTGAGATTGTGCTATATATGTCCATAGTTATAACAAAGAAGATCTTATTTTTCATATTGTGTGACAGTGTAAGTCTATTTTTCTTTTATTATTTTCCCCTCAATAAAAGACTCAAGTGTACATTAGTGTACAATGCTTGAAAACATAAGAAGGCGTAGCAAAACAATATCACGATATGATAACTTATCATTGTTGCTTTTTTATGTACATGTAATGATCTTCATATATCAAATTAGCTTAAATTTGTGAGTAATAATGATAAGTAATGAATGTATACGTGATCATTTAATAATTTTAGTTTTACGTCATAATATTAAAAAAAAAATGTATTTTTAAAAAAACTGGATATATCACTATATAAACTCCTTTTTAGTCATTTTTGAGAATAAAAACAAACATTGGAAAATTGCGAAAAAAAAAGCATTGAAAACCTGGTAGGTCATACGTTTATTTAATAGTTTAAGATTATTTTTTTTTTCTCGAGTGAACAAGACCTCAGAGGATATAGTATATTATTATTTTTAAGATCTCACTAGTATATCTCACTTCACTTTCTTATTAGTATGTATGTTATTAAGAAAATAAACTTGTATAAATTCGATGTCAAGAATTTTGTTATGTTTATTTTATTTGGATGTTTGCTAATCGACACTTTTATTATTGTTACAGTATGACTCTGACAAACAAGTTTCCTTTTACTTTCTCTAATAGATATAATTAATCTCTCATTCTACACCTATATGCGATGAAATAACGGCAAGATATATGGAAATTACAAACTATAGTATAATTATTTAGATATATCTCCTGTAAAATCTATCTAATTGAGATATATTACCTTTAAACGTAGAATATTATCTCTCTGATTGATATAAAGAACTATTAAAATTTGAGTATTTTGCCTCTGTTGAAGGCGTTTTTTTTTCTTTTCTTGAACACATCTTTTCGTTGATCCATAATCTTATCAGGCGATTCATTTTTACCTAATAGGTGTGTAATTTGTAAAAATAGCATGCCACATTAACAATAGTTTACGGACTAAATCCATATTTACCTTAAAGCGAAAGAACTTAGCATATTTTTATACATGGTTGTTTATTCTACTACATGCTTCAAAATGATGCTGAACATCACGTAGAATATTTATCAATTACTGTATCGAAATAACACGTTTTTCTTTTCAGCGCTTGCATAAGTTCTATATCTATGAAACTAAAAAAATATCACAAACACACACACATAGATTCACTATAGACGCCCATTATATTGTTAAGAGTCCTTGGAAACATTCATATTTTTTATATTTATAAACGAAACAATATGATTTTGATGCAAAAATATGACGTATACACAAAACAATTTCGATGACAACATACGATGCATCATTTCTTTTTCTTTTGTTGTTCTGCTTTTTTCCAACGATAATATAAGTTTTATATTTCCTCAAAATTTTTTTGTACAGTCAATCATAGCTTTACACTCTTCTCTCTCTATATCTCTAGAACCACTCATGAAAGAGAAAGGAAAAATTCAATCACAGTCTATCTATCTACTGCATATGGCTAATGTTGATGTTATTTTTTCTAAGACTAATGAAAAGAACAGCGAACATAATAAAAGATAGTCTCTTTTTCTTGTCTGAAAAACAATATATAAAACAAGTATCATTAAATATTTGGTTTATCATTAATTTTACTTTGTTTCCCAACAGAACTTGTTCTCAAAAATTTATTCTTTCCGTACTAATAAGTAACTAACTATTGGTTTATATTTTTTTAATTAAATGTTAAGGTGAGTATCGAATCATTGACAAGTTAATTAATGTAAAATATATCTCAATCAAAAAGACATTTTTCAACAATTAAACAACTTGAAGAAAATGAATAAAATTCATATGAAGCGAAAAGTTAACTAACATTATACTATCCTCAACAAAGATCAGTCTAATTGAATTCAAAAAAATTGCTATCAGTACAAATCTAGACTTTTATATCATAATTTGAAAGTATAAATTCTGAAAAACAAGAATCTGTTATTACAATATTTTAACTGTTTTTTTTTTGGTCAGAGATAAATAGTGAGTAGAAAATGGTTGGTATCGTTATTCAACTTCATACTGAATCGGTACTAACATGGCACCTAGAATACCAAAAATTTGTTTTCTTATAAAAGAAAGTCAACAATATCAATTCATTTTATGCATATCGGTTTATTGCTTGAGCGTATCTGAAGGAATCCATGCATGAGATTGTATTGGTACCGGAGACGTTTTGCGCATCAATTTTAGTGGAAAGTAGATTTGCTTAAAATTACACGATAAATGGATATTTTCAACATCTGCTTGTTTTACGTTACATATATCTCTCTTCGATTTATCTCTGTTGTCTCAAATACGAAGTAATATAGAAAAAAACTATTTGTATCTTACATTTTCTGAGGGCAGATAAAAAAAAGTCTATTAAAATTGACAATGAATAAACGGCATCGAAATTATTGAAGCTTTAAAAAAAATTGATGACTTCTATAATCGACTATGTCGCTCTAATTACTTTTAAAATGAAACGACTTATAAGTAGAGAACATTGTTTTCTCGCGTATTTTCACACTCTAAACATATTTTGTGAATTAAACTGCATATACCTAGAGATATAGGTGTTACAACAACAACTCCTCTATATTTGATTATATAAAAAACATTTAGCCTCTAAGTCTGAAAGTATATATAGGATTAATTAGTGTTTAATATAGATCTTCTCTATTTGCATGAAAATTCTCATTAAATAGGGTTATTGGATACTGAAATACTACTTTTTTTTCACCTGTGGATGACAACGGCAAATCATTAAGGAGAAATACTCATCTCTTTATATCCATCTGTTTCCTGTTTTTGCTTTCAATTGTATATGCTTGATTTGTTTTTTGATAAAAATATGTAGAAAAGCCTCTTTTATCTCTGTGAATCATTAGTCTGATTCGACATGTGTAACGTTGTCTTATTGTTTTTCCTCGATGTCAAATAATGACAAAATATGTGTTATATTGTTCATATGTGTATTCTCATTGTCTATAGTATTATTAGCACATAACCTTTACATTTAATTGAAATAACTGCTGAATATTTGACATAGAACTGCTTAATTATGATAAGACTGTGTTGTATTATTTTCTTTGTTAATGTCAACTATTTGAGTGTATCATTGATAGAAGTTAGAAACGGAAAAATATACCTTCATAGATTCTTGACCACGTTACATTTGAACAACATTCTCTATTTTATAATCCTTCTCATAATTAATAATTTGTTAGGTAGACTGAGATGAAGGTACAATATGGTGGTAAAGACTACTATAAGTAACAGTAGTCTACAAGATCACTTATTCAATTTACAAGTTTTTACATTTTAGTTAGAAAATTTTATTATTTTTCACTTTAGTGTATTATCATGAATACTACTGGAATTACAAATTTAGGTTGTCCACCTGAATGGGATCTGTTATCAAACACATTTAGTCAAGCCTTATATATATATTTAACGCCTATTATAATCGGGATTGGATTATGTGGAAATATTTTGACTATATTGGTATTCTCTCGTACTGATTTACAACGGCAATGTGTTTGTGTATTAACAATAACCTTGGCAGTTGCCGATTCATTCGTATTGGTAATACCTGTACTAATGATTTGGCTCGAGACAATCTTAAAAAGAGAATTCTCTGAAACATCCATTTTTTGGTGTCGTACACATGGTAAATACAACATTTTAAAATAAACAATATAATATTGAAAATTTTTCATTCAATAATCTAGGTTTTTTTGACTTGTCGTTTACGTGTACTTCCAGTTGGCTAATTGTTTTCATCGCATGTGATCGATTTATAGCCGTTTGGTTACCACATAATAAAACATTATTTACACACCGGCGAACATTTATTCTTGTTATATCTACAATTGTTATTTCTGCCATTATTTCATCATGGTTCATTTTTGCTGTAAGAATGGTACCAGTAGATAATAGTCTAAAAACTTCATCAATTTCGATGTTTACAAAGTTTAGGTAAGAATAAATTTGAATCAAACATAATTTATATACTAATAGTGGAAAGTTGTACGAAAATATAAAAAAATTCAAAACATAGCTTTAATGGGGCTATACTCAGCTTACTAAATGATTTCTATTTTACCATTCCAATCATTTAAAAGCCACTACATTTGGCTTCAGGCATCAGATGAAGCATATTTTGAATAGTTTAATAAATTATCTGTATTTTAGTAACCTTGAAAATACTAATTTATCATGGGATATCAAATTATTATCGAAAAACACCAACATATCACTGCCGATTCAAAACAATTTATACCGGTGTGGAATCATGCATAAAAAAACTTATCAGATCATCGGTACATTAGCCATTATAATTAATTATTTTCTACCATTTTTAATCATAGCCACCGTAAACAGTGCAATTATCTATCGTTTAAGTTTACGAGGCATCGTTGATATCACGTCAAATATCACATTAATGTTGATTCTCGTCTGCATAATGCATTTAGTGTGCACGATACCGTTTCAATCATGTTGGCTCTATTATCAAGTTGTACAAGAACAAGAAAATAATTGTGAATGGTTAAAATCAAGAGCAAAATGGAGAAATTTCACGTTTACTATACGTAATATTAATTATATGTTAAATTTTTTTCTTTATTCTTGCTCATCACTTTTATTTCGAGATGAATTATTTAAGTTAATCTATTTATGTTTATTTCCATCGACACAACCAAATTATCCCGCTTATTATTATCGAAGAAATAGTGGATACGATAATACAGGTCGACGTTTTTCACTTTCCACATTAATTCTTAGAAGATTGAGTAGAACAACAGAATATACAAACGGTTAAGGATACATTCTCCTCGTTTTAGAAAAATTTTTCATTTTTGAGCTAAATGTGATGAATGACAGAGTGACATGTCCTCTATAAAATAAGATCAGTCTTAGCTCTCCACGACCTTCTATTGAGAAGATAGGAATTTTTTTGAAGTTTCTCTCTTTACTCCTAAAAACACGCGATTTTTTAGCTTTCGAAAATTTTTTTCCTTATTCTAGCCCTTGAAAGTTTTTTCAAATAGTCAGTCTTGTCGAGTGAAGAGTTCTGAACAAAACGAGGTGTCATCCAGCTCTACATCATGTTTTCTGATAGAGTGATGATCATTTTGCTAAAAGCCCTCAACAATAGTGAGTTTCTGGTTGCAAAAGACTTCTACATAGCCTCTAAAAATAGCAAGTAATCGCGTCTTATACTTTACGAGTAGTACAATTCTACACACACCGAAAGCTCAAAATGAGGGGATGGGTACCTTTAGATTATTAATATCATCCATTATTCTTGTAGTATATTATTTATAATTAGAAATTTAGTATCTGATCATAAATTTATGATTCATGACTGATGCATTATATTGCGACAATGTTGACTTTCACAACTGTTTAAATAGGAAAAAGATTAATGTGCAGCATGGATCAAGATTAGTCAGCGAAAATAGAAAACCGTGGAAGGTCTATCAATATCAATTTATAACTGTAAATATTTGATTATTGTACACATTAAATGTAATTTATTGATCATCAAGTATACAATCAGTTTTAAGACTCATAAACATTTAAGGTTTTGCACTCCATTTTAAAAAGTTTATTGTTCATACATTCCTTTAAGCTGTAGTGTCTATTACGTATAAGTGAATAAATATGTTCAATTTCAGAAAACAAAATTGATTATTACTCTTCAGATCGACTTGTAATGGGGTATTCTTGTTTCGTCGACATTAATTTCTTGCTCGATTCGTCGACCCTTTTTAATCCTTTGTAAAACATGGAATTATAGTTGAAATTATAAAAATATATACTACAATTTTAAATTTGTAAAAAATTCATAAAATTCAATAAAAAAAGATCAACTAAGCAACGGATTTCTTTATCAAAACTAATAGTGTACAGAAAACAGTTGTAGTTGATAATAAAAAATATATAAATATACTTATACAGCGATATTGAACTGACAAAATCATCTACTTATCAAGAACAAAGACAGTGATCAAGCAATGTTTGGCTTTGAAAGAGATGAGACACCAGGTGATGAAGTTTAGCTTATCGTTAGGTTATCGTTATACACAAGAGCGGGTAAGAAATAATAACACCTAAAAATTTGTACAAAGCAAAATAGTTTACCGCCACGTAAGAAATTATATGTTAATCATTTACATAATTTAGAAGATAGATATAAACAAAATAGTACAAATTTAAATGACTTCTTGTGTAAGGTATCAAAAACGATAGGTGTTAAAAAGTTTTGATCTTTTTGTCAAATATTTTTCAAGACTATATTGTATGCATGAACATTTTGAAATAAAAACTTTATGATTGCAACTGGAATTCCCATGTTTTACAAAGGATAAAAAAAGTGTCGACGAATCGAGCAAGAAATTAGTCGATGAAACAAGACTGGATCCTTGTAAATTGGTGTTTCCATTCTAGTTTTCATATTCATTCTAATCTTTACACATTTAATCTACGTAATAACGAAACAGGAATCTAATAGAGTTTTAGTTTAAAAGTGATAGGGATCTAACACAAAGTTACGTAAAATTCAAACTCGTTGAACTGAAATTGTCCTTTGTTATAATGGATGATGTCTAAATTGACAATAATAAATAAATCTATATTCTCGCCTGCAAAAGAATCTTGTTCAAGCAGAAGTGATCCAGCCAAAATACCTGGATAGTTTAGGTAAAGCATCGATCGGGTTCTGTTGTACTCTCAGCGTTTTCGATTAGGTGGGAGAAGGTGGGGGAATTCCTTCGCCTTGTTTGAAATGAATTACTCACTTGAGAAAAAAATTTACTTAGTTCATAAAAATATTCGCTCACTCAGAAAAGACTTTTTTTTGGCTATCAGCTAAATTTTCTGAGAAAAAGCGTGCTTAGAAAATTTTTTAGAGTTGCCCAAAAAAACTTCTCCAACCTTGCTAAAGTTATATCGAAAACGCTGTGTACTCTAAATACTTTGAGTGGAGTATCAAGTTATCACGTTGCTCGATGTATTACTGAATGCATCTAGATACAAGGAGAGCTTTCATCTAGGTTCAAAATGTAAGTCAAGGCATACAGGAAACTCGATGCTCCACTCAAAGCATCTAGATAATGTACTAACAAGCTGCTAAATATGAAAACTTCCACAAACCTCACACCAGAGAGTGATATTCACTACTTGTAAACACCGGTTTCAGATTTAGTAAACTCCATTTTTAGTGCTTACAAACACCAAAAATCAGATTTTGTAAACACCAGAGGACGATTTTCAGCACTTGTAAACACATTTTTTTCCATAAGATCCTACCTATAAAAATAAACCTCAGACTTCCATCTCCTACGGAGAACGGACAAGTCCTTGGAAATATTCTTTGTTAAATTTAAATTAAAATACGAAACTAAAGTATCTAACTTTAACTCTATTATATATCTAGTCCGTATCGACCAATAGTTTTACTCTCAATATAGAATATAACTGGACTTGTTGTCCAGAAATTTTACAGATAATAAACTTTTCTTGCAAAATATCGACTTTTCATCATGATTATATTTAGTTCAATAATTTGTTTTGCCTTAAAAATAAGAAAAAAACTCGGATTATTCATATATGATGTTGGATACACCAAGAAAAAGCATGTTCTGTATTTTCAATCTTGAATTGGTTACGATCGACTGATGGACGTTTCTTCTCGAAGATGATAATATTAAATGTTTTATTAGATAAAGTAGTCAATTCAGATTACTGTTATAGAGTAATGAAAGTTGTAACTTTTGGTGATTTTTGTCTCGTAGTATTTTCAGAAGATTTTCTAAAGAAAGAAAAATCGACAGAAAAGAGGATTATTTGAGACTAATGATGGATCGCATACTGGCATATAGTGTTAAAATATGAAAATCCTCAAGATCGGATTAACGCTAAGACCAGAAGATCTTATTTTTCATTTCAATTAGTTTCTATATTAAGTTTCATTATATCCTGATAAAATCGATTAAGAAATCACTATACTTCAATAAATTGTCGTTTTTGACAAAACTTTATTATTAACAGATAAATAGTAGTATGAGAAAAAATGTGAATAAAAAATGTTCATGTTCACATTGTTGATGATTTTCTAAATAATGATTTATATCTTGAATCCATTCGAATTTTATCTATTTGTTGTGTTAATTCAATTTGTGCTTGTGGACAATCTCTTAAATTGTAAACTTTGTATAATAGGAAAATCAAAAACAAAATACCAAGAAAAAATAATAAAATAACAAATGAAGGAATAATAAATCGTGAAATAGCATCTTGTAAACGTACCGGCAGTAAACCTGCTCCATCTGATATACAGAAAAAATCTAAACCTAGTAATATTGAAAGAAGTTTACTTTTCTTCATTTCTAGCATTCTATCTGAAAGAATAAAAATAAAAAATTATAGACATGATCTTTTTACAATAAAAATTAAGTTTGTATATACGTCTAGCTATTAGTTTATCATAACATTAATTAAATGATTATTTTTATTATAGAGTTAGATATAAAAAAATATAAAAGCATGTTTAAACATCCAACGTGTACGTATAATATATTCATTTTTTCAGACACATTCATAAAATAACTACTTTAATGAACTACTTTAATGCAGTCTAACATACGATGCTAAAGTTTTTGGAATAATGTCAAGACTCGTTGTCCAGTGGTATAGAATCGTCTTGAATTTTTTTGCTTTATTGTATTATTTTAATATACAACTACACCAACTACTGAACTCATTCTAAAAGGGTCAATTAATCTTACCCCAGAACAAAACATCCTTATCGTAAATAATGTCCACAAATACATCGTTGACACTAAAAGATTCACTTAACATTCTTTACTTCT